TTGTTCATTGCTTTATAATTAGGTCATGTACTTTCCTTTCTCCTTCAGAAATTTCATTATCTTTTTCAGAGTTATAGTATCTCAGCTACTTTTGAAAGATTTTCATTCTCTGTTGCACTATGATCTTCTCTGAGACTCATTTTCTTCCTTTAAAATTTGATCTGCTGACAGGTGACTATATTATGTTATTATTATTTGCTTCTGCTTAAAGCAAATTCTACTTCTTCAGTTGCTCACATATTCACTCTTACAGAACAAGACTTCAAAAGTTTTATTGTAGGGCCAGAGAAAACTTGAACTTAAAACTATTTCACAGAATCACAGAATTCTAGTCCAACCCCCTCTACTAAAGCAGGTTCCCTAAAGTAGGTTGCATAGGAAACCATCCAGGAAGGCTTTGAGTATCTCCAGAAAAGAAGACTACCCAGCCTCCTCAGGTAGCTTGTTCAGTGCCGAAGGACATAAGCTACAACCTGCAAGTTTAGAGGTTGTATATCCTCTGTATTTGAAATATTTAAAGATTTGGCTAGACAAAACCTGGGCTGACTAGGCAGTATTGGAAATACTTCTATTTTGAGTTTGAAACTGGCTTAGATGGCCTGCATCATTCTCTTATAGCTAGTATTTCCATGTGCTCTATTGCTGTGTATAGTTTTTCTCCATAGGTTGCTGAGCCAAAATTATAGATTTTCATGTATTTTGTCCTGTGTTTTTATTGAACTGCCCTTTTCATTGCCTGACAAAATGCTGTTTAATGAGAGAAATACACTACTCTGCACAGTTCAAGAATTCTTTATTTTGGTTAATTATATATGTAACAAAGCCAATGCAATCAGGCTATGTGTTATTGTCCAACTCTGTGTATTGAGTCATATCCTCTAACACATGATACTAAATAGAATCTGTCACCTCAAGCGTGATTACCTGATGAGTTTGTCAAGAAGACTTATCAGGTAATTTCTCAGTAGTGGAAATATAATTGCAAGTGTTCTCCTCTCTAGCTGGGACACATGAGACATTTGCATAGTATTCGGGTATGTTGGCACACCTGGATGCCTCTGAAGTGTCTGTCCACTAATACACACAAACAGTTACAGCCCCATGATCTTGCTGGCGTTATAGAGCATGGTGGGATGCAGTGCTTGGAACTGTTTAGGAAATACCATCTGGAATGGCAAGGAAAGGAGCCACTCTTATTGTGAGAAAGCAGTGCAAATGCACAGAGCAATGTCTTGGGACAGATTATAGGCCAGATGAGAATTTATGGACCAGAAACTTAAGTGATATTGTGATGGGTATCTGTATCTGCTACAAACTGCATAGTGATGAAGAAGAATCAAATGACCAATTGATGGGAAAGCAGCTTGGCAGAGAAAGCCCTTGGGATCCTGCAAACATGAAGCTGATCACGAGTCAACAATATGTCCTTGCAGAACAGATTGCTGTTGGCCTTCTTTACTATGTTAAGAAAGGTTTGTTATCAGGTAAAGGGAGGTGACTCTTTCTCTGCTCAACACTGATGAGACACATCTGGTGTGCTAGGTCCAGTTCTGAGTTCCTCAGTATGAGGGAGATATGGACATTCTGGAATCCAGAAAAGAACCACAGAGATGGTCAAATGATTGTATGTGAGGAGATGCTGAGAGATCTAGGAGTGTTCAACCTGTAGAGGAGAAGAGCAGGTTCAGGAGGATCTTATCAATGTGCATGAATACCTTATCTGAAACACAAACATAAAGAAATATTTATTTACTGGGATGGTAGTTGAACACTAAAACATGTTATCCAGAGAAGGTGTGGAGTCTCTATCTGTAGAGATGTTCTTAGCTGAATTGAATATCCTGCTGTCTATGAAGACAAGCTTTGAGAGTTGCATTGTTCACCATGGAGAAAATGTTCCAGAGAGACATCAGTGCAGCATTCCAGTAAATATTAAGTGTAGTGATAGAAAAGGCATAATGATTTAAACTGAAAGTAAGTAAGGTTAGTTTAGGTATTAGAAAGAGATTTTTCAGTATGAGGGTGGTGAGACACAGGAACAGAAAACCCTGAGAAGCTGTGGATGTCCTGTCCCTAGAGATGTTCAATGGATGTTGGATTGGATGGGGCTTTGGACAACTGGATCTAGTGGGAGTTGTGCCTGCCCACAGGAGGTGGGTTGGAACTAGAAGACCTTTAAGATCCCTTATAACCCATACCTTTCTGTGATTCTATTATTCCAGCAGCAATTACCGTCTCTGCAGTAGCAGATGGCATATTTTCTCTGTAGTAAACATGAGGTTGGTTGCATGTTTATAATAATGGGAATGTGTATAAACAACTGCCAAAGAAAAAACAACTAAGTCCAAACACTTGCTCATCTTATGGTCAGTTAATTGAGTAGTCAGAAAATCATTTCAGCTTTACATCAGTGTTGTCAATTTGAGCTCTTGAGTTTGCACTGAGATGACATAAGGATAACATCACATACTATAATAGGTACATGTAATTGCTACAGCAGCAGTTTGCGCTAAATGTCTGGAATGTATAAGATTAAAGAAGAATATTTTTGTGAGTAATTTGCATGTATTTGACTACATCAAAAATGGTTCTTAAAGCTGGAGTTATCAGGTTGTTTAAGCCAATTTTCTGAATGCATCTTGAAAGTGCTCCTGGGGAGAGGACAGGGAAAATACATTTTAGAGCCAATCAGAACTTCATCAGTAACTGCACACATGCTGGGCATCAACCCCTTATTCAAATATTCAAACAGTGGTACTTGTATTTTCACTAAACGTAGAAGAGGAAAATAGAAATTAGCCTGTTATGAGAAAAACTGATTTTCATTTGCAGTTTAGATAGTCCTGCTGTTTCCAAATAATTGTTTTAACTAAGTACTTGTTTTGCACTAGAAGATGGTTGTCTGTTATGATCTTAGTAAGAAGGGCACTTGGGCTCTTTAAAGTACCCTTTAAAATACTATTTTTTAGAGATATCACTGTAAAGAAAGAAAGAGTAGTAAAGATAATCTTGCATCACTATAGATACTGGGAACTCCCAGCTTAGAACATTATGGCTTAGAACGAGCCTCAGAACATGTGCAGTAAGCCATGCAGACCCTGGCTTTGGAAAGGGTGACACAATTTTTGTCATTTGAGCTTCCTGAGAATTATCTTACAAGATAACAAACCTGTTCATCATTTCTTCTGTCACATAAAATGGATGTTCACATGAGAGGTTCTTGCTGCACTTTTAGCTGAACGCAAGGACAAATAGTTGTTGCATTTGCTAGTGCTCAGCTGGCTGCAGGCCCTACTATTACGGTGTGACAGTGAGGCTGATCATGCAGCCGAGACATGGCTGCACAGTAGTACAGCAGTGAAAGCCACACTGCATGTGCAGCACAGAGCAGTTCTGAGTGCACTCAGGTTAACTGTTGAGTGTACCACCAGCTCCTCCATATAAGGTGGTCTTCCAGGCAGAATCAAAGCAGCAGTAGCTTTTAAATATTCACCATAAATTGTTTACAAAACGTTTAAAAATACCATTTTATCTTGAATTAACTCAGGAAATATCTACTTCCTTTTCTGGCAAAGTATGACAAAGCTGAATTGTATGGTATATACATTTCCTCAGCAAATCTTTTTTTTCCTCCCATAAAGTAGAGAATCTTCCCTAATAAAACATATTTTTTTTAAAAACATAGATTTACATTCAGTATTTTTAAATTGAATTTTGAAAATGTGTATTTCTTAAAAGGAGCAAGTAGAAGTAGTAAAATACCAAATACTTCAAAACTAGGTTGATTTCAAGATTCAAATGTAAAGCATGGAAAGTTATGTAAAATGTAGGCCATGTGAAACATTCAATTTCATCTGTTCTGAAGTTCCTATTTTAATATTACATAGGTGAAATCCCATCCAAAGTTATTTACTAATTGTGGAAAAACAACAAAAAAAATCTGATAGTAAAACAATTAGTTTTGTGAAACATTCGAGTTTCTCATTGTCTTGCTGAAAATCTTCAAAATCATTTCTGAGGTGAACTTTCACAGAGGCTTTGGACTCCCTATATGAAATATGTATGAAAGAAAACAAAATCATATCAACAAAAAAGCTACAAACTAAAAAAACTCACCTAAGATTTATTAGCTTGTCAGTATTAATTGCAGTATACAGGACTGTTTTGTGATGGAATGAGAAAATCACTCAAGGGTAGGAACAAATTAGCTTTTCTTAAGGCTTTTTCTTAAAAGCTGGAAAAAGTGACAAACAAGCAAAAAAAATCTAAACAGGCAAGCAAAAAGACCGGAGGAATAAGTGAAACAAATATGATATTCTCCATAATAGAAAAGGACTCCGGGGAACAAGTGAAGATAATTCTTATCAAAATTCTCTTTTCAAAATGCAAGACAAAGCAAGCAAAGCTTGTGCAAGGCAGCAGCCAGACTAGAGACACAAAAGGAGAGGTAAATCAGTATGTTGATTGCCACAACTGGACCTTCTGCCTCTGTGAAAGGATGCTACACAACCTTAGCTGTGTTTGTGCCTGGTTAAAAATAGAGACCTTTCAAAGATGTGGTGAACATGCTAGTTGCTACAGAAATGAAAGTATTCAAGCTGTGTTAAGCAAGATGAAAGCACAGGATTTTGTTTGCTATGAAGGCGATTGCAGAAGTGGTGGAAACAAATAAAAGGTAAAAGCTCTAAGGGTTATGGTTATTGACATATATTAAGCAGAGATAGGTTTTGGTGGTTTACAGATAGAAGTCACTATGAAGAGTTGAGAGTTGATTTAAGGCCAGCTTATACATTTGTTGAGAACTTGTCACATGCACTGATACACTAGCTGCAACTGGATTTAAAAAAATGGCTATCTTGTACAGTAGGTAGTGGTGGAAATATCTGTTTGATTAGTTTTTTCACTATTTCATTTTGCCTGAGGCTGAGCAAATAGAGGTAGGTGGTGCAAAATTGAACGCTTAATAACCCTATTGTGCTTTGGTTTTTCTTGCTTTGTAGATCCAATCTGGAGGAGCTGAGATTTGGTTAACTGTGGAGATGTTATTTTCATTGAGATAGTAAGCGTGTTCTGCAGCATCCAGGCTGTTGACACCCAAAGAACAAAGGACATTTGTGACTGAGTTTAACTGAGTTTATTGCTTGACATGGGAACGCTATGATGGTGCATCACAATAAGAAAAATTACAGTTCAGTTGAGACTTGCGATTGTTAACACAAAAGTAAAAAACTGAAAAGCCCCAAATTTGAGTTTCTCTGATACTGATTTCTCTATTTCTTGGGCTCTTAACAAAAGTTACAGGCTTACATTATTGAGTGCTGGCATTACTAGATTATTTTCAAACAGAAATATTATTTATGGCTCAGGACACACATATCTTTGAAACTCCTCAGTCCCCCTGTAATTGTGTAATATGAAGTAAAAAAAGAGATTAGCAAAGGTAGATTAAATGGTACAGAAGAAAGAGGAGGGAAAAAAAAGGGTATTTTAACAGGCTTTGGTAAGAGATAGTAAAATAATCCCTTCAGTAATCTTAGTTTTTCTTTAGACTGAGTTCTCAGAGTCCCAGGGTGGACACTGCTGCTGCAAGTTGAAAGATGGGTGGGAAAGGGAACTTACATGAAACAAAAAGGTTTATAAACTTCTTTGGGGCTATTAGACTCACTGTACTATCCCTATCAGTTTTTCATAAAATAAGCATTCTTTGCCCTTTTTTACATTTCCATGGCCTTCTGAGGAGAAGCAGACAGGTAACAGACAGGCTCAGTAGCATTTTCTGCCTTTCTAAGGAATGGAAGTGGACAGAGAAGTATGGATAAAGGTGAGCAGCTCTCTCTCTTTTTATGCTACTGGGAATAGGAATGAAGATAACTTTATCTGATTTTCTCTGAGAAAGTTAACTGGTATTCCTCTCTGCAGAGAGGAAGTCAGTTCTTTCCCTTCCGTGCAGCAGATGCTCCTACATAGTTCAGTACTTTGCTCAGCTGCAACAGAAACAGGAACTGAGTGTGAAACTTCATTTTGGAAGAATTCCTGTAATCTCTTCAAGCACTGGAAGGTATGCAGGTTGTTGCTTCAGCTTACAGCATTAGGTAATTGCCTTTTTATCCTATTCTTCAAGCCAGGACTGGCCATAAAATTGACTTTCTTATTATTCAGAGTAAATAATTTTCATCCTTAACAAAGCACAGCTGTGGCTGAACTGATAGGAAATGTAATAATGCATGCCATTTAAAGCATTCTCTCACATTTTACTTGAGTTTTCCCATCTTCTTTGCAGTTTTAAAATCAACACCTTTGCAGTGATTGTTTTGTCAGATCAAAAGGTCAGAACTATCCATTCATAGTTGAACCAATTTGCTTTCGTCTTTTTTTACTGCAAGCTCCTGTTATTTTCACCTTTAAGTAGCTTCTTATATTTTTAATCATTCAAATATAGCACTGTTGATTCTCCGAACTCTAACACTTCTAAGCTCTCACAGATCAAATATTGAGTAGCGAGGTTTTGTTTAACATTCATTCAAATAAAAACTTTCACTGAAATATTTGGCCAACATTTCAGTTACCTTTTAAACTTACACTTATTTCAGCTCCAGACACTTAGTTCTCTGTACATGCATTATTACAAAAATGAATGTCTAAAGACAGCATTTCTCATTGTGACTAAAACATAAATCAGTCCTATGGAAAGCATATGCTTACAATTGCATTTGTAGCATAATTTCTAGCCAAATGTATTTTGGAGAAGTGTCTGTAAGTATCTATCTTTTCTTTCTTTCTTTTTTTTTTTTTTTTTTTTTTTTTTTTTTTTTTTTTTTTTTTTTTTTTGGAGATAGACCTGTATTTTGCAGTAGAAAAGCAGAGTGAAGTATGTATTGTGTAGTTAAAGGTGTTATAACTATGTAGTTTTGATAAGAGATCTTCAAAGTTGATGGGTGACATTATTTCTCTAAGTCTCTTCCAAACATATTCTATGATTTTAATGAACAAATCACTTTGTAATGCTGGGGACAAAGAGATGGTTTGTAAAGGACTGAGGAAGGAATTTCTCACAGTCCTTCTCCTCAAGTAACTACCACACTATAGTGCCTACTAGTTTCTCATTCGTTATTCTAGGAAACAAATCAAATGAAATGAAAACAAAACAATCAACGTCAATTCTTGTACTTTGCTACGCAAGCATGATTTTTTTTTATAAATAAGATGCTTTGGAGAAATCCTGCTTCTTATTTTCAACCCAACTCCTACTATCTTTTTTGATGGCCTCTAGTTCACTGAAGGCTGTTCATCCTACTCACTCATTTATGTACTTCATGTATAGCTTTTCACATTTAAGAAACCTCACACAGGCTGAGGACTGAAATAAAATCTTTCCTATCTCATTCTAACTCTTTGCCCAGAAGTTGCATCTTCATTCATTCACTGTGAAAGGGAGTGTTTTTCCCAAAGATTAGCCAGATGGCAAGAGGCAGTATAGCAATATGACAAGAGGCCCATTCCTGGTACCAAGGACATATCTGACAAGTTCTGAAACACAGCTCCACTGCCAAAGGACTTGTTGAGTTTCTTTGATTTTTAATGTGGATAAAGCACACCTAACCAACAACCAACTTTATTTCTATCATTGTGGTCTTGAATACAATTGCAACTGGAAACAGTAATATATATCACAAGAATGCCAAAATTAAAAGGTGATTGGGAACTGTATCTCCAGAAAAGGAATGTAAATATATAATAGCTTAACTCTTAACTATGAACAAAGCTACCAACCTTGCATCTCATCACACAAGTTTGGTTGCTTAAAAAAATTCAAGTTGGAGACAGTGAAATGACTGTAAGAAATCATTAACCTTGTTTGTTTTTGCCAGGCTTGTTCTTCGGGATTATTCAGTCCAAATCATTGATCAGCTCTATAGTTTAGTAAGAGTTATTCCACCATTCTCCTGCCAGGTACAGAATAGAAGAAATGATAGAAGGTGATGACTGGTATTAAAAGATTTTATGAAGTCAGAGTCAGTCATCTCCTGTTGAGTGTGATATATTTAATCTTGAGCTCATCAAAGTCTCTTTTTGGATGGGAACATGACATTTTATGTGAAGAAATGTGCTGGAATTTAAGCAGCTATATATAAATTATAGAGTGTGGATGAAAAGCCACTTTTCTCTGTCTGTCTATGACAGAGTGCATGATTGAGTTCGTGGCTCTGGTGTGCAGAAAAGCTGCTTCCTTTGCTACACAAGCGGTGCATTGCAAATGAATTCCAGGGGTGGTGTGCCCTGGTCTCAGTCCTCTAGAAATATGAACAGAGAAATATGATGCAGAAAAAATGATATTTCCTGAACTGTCTCTGTACATGTCTGATATCTAACTACACTTAATCCAAATCTTAGAAATCCATAGAAACATGGATTGATTCTTCTCGTATCTACCTCTCTGTAATGATTATCTTAATAGTCTGAATAATAACATCTCTGTCTGACAAGAGCTTGTCTCGCTCCGATTTACAGGAGGGAGAGGAGGTTCTTTTAATATCTGTATCCCCGGCGTGAGATTAAGAAACAACGGTTCAAATGTTGGTCCGACCAGTTTATTACAGATGTTAATTAGTGAGATGGTGAAGGGGAGGACGGACGCTATTATGAATTAGGGTAATGGGGAAGGGAAGGAGGGCGATAGAAAAGGTAAGAAAGAAGCAGCAAGGAGTCTTTATAGGAAGCAAGAGGGACATAGTCACCACCATGGATCCAGCGAGGTTTGTAGTTCAGCCTTTGATCTTCAATAGTGGTGGGTCATCAGGTGTTGTTGTTCTGTTGACAGCAATGATGGCAGCGACCATGGTGATGATGGCCCCTTTTCAATGCTTTCAAAGTGGTCGAGTCAGCTGTCTTT